CCAAGTGCAACAGTCTCTATAAAGGGAACAGGTGAAGATAAATAGGCCACCTAGCAGCCTGAGACTAGAAGCCATCAGCTATGGAGAATCACAACTATGTACCTGCATCATTAGCACAGGCTTCCCCCATGCAAGCCATACCTGAAGCACTAGCACAAGACCAGACACTGCAGAGTATGTCCCAATGAAAGTTTAGAAATTAAAAAAAAGGAATTTCAGACCTTGTTTTCTGAAACAAGTGACCTGCCTATCCCTCTAAAGTGGCCCAAAAGTCTCACTACAGGAATAAGACAGCTAAACTCTTACATTACCAACAAATTGTGGTTTGTAAGGGGGAGGGGTAGAATTGTTCCACAATTCATGGTGCTTTGTTTAGTGTTACATCCTGGTTTCTTTCTGATTAGGGGCAGCAAGAGCCTTATCTTTGAAAGCAGTTTCCTGCAGGCATTACTAGTCACTGGAAAAATTCTCAGAGGAGGGTTTGGAAAGGCTGATGTGATTAAGCAAGACACTTTCCTTCCGGCCTTTGCCATAACCAAGAAGCCACAAATACAACAGGAGCTTCTGGAGCAATGCAATCAAAGCCAGGATTTTGATACTCAGGAAGAGCCAAGCTAAGTTACAAGACAGCAAAGATCTCAACAAGCCCAGAGATGGACACAGAAGGGAATGTGCAGGGACCAGCCTCAGCACAGAAGTGACAAGCCCAGTTTCTCTGTTGGGGAGTAGTCACAGTGGAGTGCTTTGAAGCTGTGTGGGGTACAGAAGAGGAGTGAAATCCTTTGGCAGAAACACTGAGAAGCCAATAGAAAGAAACTGAAATACTAGGTCAAGGTCAGGCACTTGCTAGAGTCAGACCTGGATCATAGCCAGCACTAGGTCAATAGACCAATAACAGGCCTGAGATTTTGAGAGTCAGATGTTGAGAACCAGTGGGGCTAGAGGTAAATATTTATGCTGCTTGGGAGCCAGAAGATCCAGGTCAGTACAGAGCATTTGCCTCTAGAACAGTGATCCCCAAACTTTTCAGGGTCATGTCCCCCACTCACCCACTGGGGTGAGGCCAGGAGTGGGACAGTGGACAGAGGTAAGGGGACCAAGGTTGGAGCCACAGCTGAGGGTGGGTCTGAGGCCAGGGCTGTGACCAGGGCCAGGTGTGGAGCTGCAGCTGGGCTGCAGTCAGCCCAAGGCTGTGGGCAGGGCAGGGCCAGGCATGGAGCAGGGCTTGGGTGCCCTCCCTCCCTGCCCTCTGTGGGGGCTGGCCTGGCCCTGCCACACACCCCTGAATGTTCCTCCATGACAGTTTGGGGACCTCTGCTCTAGAAGGAAAGGAAGGCTAGTCTTGTGAATCCCAGCCCACTTCCAAAACCACAAGTACTGAGCACTAGTCCCAACTCTGCAGACCTGGGCAAGTCCCTCCATAAAATGGGGATAAATACTCCTTTTCTCACTTTGTGGTCTTATTGTACCAGGCACTGTGCACACAAAGATGGCCCCTGCCCCAATCTCAGCTGTGACTTCTAGGAGCTATGCATGCAAACAGGGCAATCAGAAGTCAGCCTGTCCTGCCCTCTTTACACCGGGTTCTCAGATGAAGGTCAAGATATTGGTGTTTCTCCCAAGGCACTCCAGGCACTTAAAGGAGCCAACAGCTCTGGGATGGGGACTAGGGTTGACAATGCTGCTTCAGGTTTCTACCTTAAGCATCCATGCAGGAGACAGCTCTCTCAGGAAGAGAGTCAGAGTGGTTATCAAAATCCCCCAGGAACTAAGGACCATTCCAAATTCCACCACCTTGAGCTCCAAGGGCACAGTGCACTTCTGACCTCCCTGGTCCAATATGGAGAGAGCAGCATGAACCCTGTAAGCATCACTACATGCATGCACACACCCCTGCCCCCCCAAGGGAGAGGTTAGAGAATAAGCCACCTGGGATGATTCATGCATGACTGGAAGGTACTCCAAGCTGTCCTAGAGCTATGTATTCTGGTGATAAGGATGGGACTATACTTACAACAGGTTCAGATGTATGCACTTACGTAGAACAGATCCTATTTTTACTCCGAACACCCAGCCATGGGAAATTACTGCCTGCCAAATTCTCCCCCTCAATATTTAGCCATGTAGATAGTGACTCAAGTCTGGCAGTCATGTTACAGCCAAGGGATGCTGTAAGACAAGCATTCCCCCAGTCCCTTACAGTCACAATAAGAGGATCAAATGTATAAACCAATTGTGCCTCAAATGCACAAGCAAGATCTCAGAACACTGCTCCCTGATGGGGGCTCACTACAGGGAAGCTAGCTTCCAAGCTCAGATGCCACTTGGTGCCATGAGACCTCTGGAATGCTAAAGCCAACAGGTGCTGCAGGCTACAGCTGAGGAAGCCATTTCAGAGGCAGCATCACTGCACACATCAAGCAGTAATCTAGAAAATGGTCCATTGAATTTGTAGTGTAGTCAGTGTGGTAAAAGCATTAAGCTGAAGAATACTAGAATGGGAGTCAGTCAAGTGAGAGTTGTGAAGTGTCACTTGTCAGGATGGGAGAGAGAGACTACTCACTGGAGCACAGAATGGGGAGCCAGGACTCCTGGGTTCTCCTCTCTATAGCCAGTAGGTCTAGTGGTTTAGACCAGGGAGTTATTTGATTATCAGGACACCAGGATTCTATTCCCCATCCCTGCTGCTCACCCACCTTACACGAATCACTTCCACTGTGTGCCTCAGGTTTTCCACCCAAATCTGTAGGACAGGGACAATAGTGACCTACCATCCAGAGGGCTGATTTGCTGAACTAGTGAGGCCCTACATTCAACTCCATGGTATGTGTTAGTCTGGACGCAACATGATCACTTTTGACCAGTACATCTGATTAATTACAACATTTCAGGGAATGTTGTAGGCATCAATGGGTAAAACCCTATTGATTTTGGGGGAAAATGGGGGGGAGAGGGGACATGAAACCACTGCCATGTTTAACAGCCACAGCTTCAAGCACCTCTGCAATGTCTATAGATCAAACACCTTCAAGCATAACTATGTCCCATCTCCTCTGTCCATCATCCCAAGAGTAACATGACGGCACTGAGGTCTCCCATCTATTTTGGGTACCTATTGCTGCAGAGAGTTAGCCCAAGCTCTTAGCCATGTGTTGCCCCTAGCGCCCCACTCCCATTCATACACAAAACCCTCTCACCCAGGTTTACTGGGACTTTCAGCTGGCCTGGCTGGGGATTAGAGTCCAGGTTCTGCTTTCACTTGGGCTGGGTAAGCCACCCTGCAGTGAGGACAGGCTAAATAACTCAAGTACTATTAGTCCTCCAATGACTTCCCACAATTCCCTCTGTGCGCCTAGTACAGATGAATTCTCACAATTCAGAGACAAAGTAGCATAGATTGTTATACAAAGCACCATGGGATGTGCCATCACACATCCTAGTGACCTGGGGAATGCAACAGCTGCAAAGACAGTAGCGCAAGTATGGCTTGCAGCATGGCTGCTGACAATTGGCCTTAACTATCCTGGGTGCTGGTCATCTAAGATCTCCACAGTGAATACATGCCCCTAGCTTACACTGGTGCATCCACATTAGGGATTTGAACAAGCTTGTTCAACACTTGCTTTAAATTGGTTCTGCTTGTAAGAGGAGTTACAATTTTAAGCAAGGGCTAAACACATCTGAGGTTTATGTCAGTTTAATTAGATTGAGATGAACAGGTGCAGCTTTTCTGATATGAGCAGGGACATGCAAACTCAGTCAGCCATTGTCCCTACCTCCAGTACAGTGGAGAGGAAAGGAAACAGACCATATACATGCATTTTGAGAAGTGGCTCAGCTAAGTAACTCATTGAGATGATCTGAAGTGCTTAGCATTCTCAGCAGCATGCTTCACAACTAACTGAGGTGGGAGGGTGTCATCCCCATTTTATGCTACAGAAAGAGGCACATTAATGAAGCTAGTTACCCCAGAGCAAAGGCAGAGATGAGACTAGAACCCAGGAGTGCCAACTCCCCAGCTCTAACCATTACACTGCATTCCTCATCAATCTAGAAATAGAACCCAGGAGTACTGACTCCCAACAGCCAGCTCTTATTTCATTTCTATTAAAATTACTAGCCCCACACACAGCAAGGGAGCCTCTATTCTAAATAGGACAGATAGGGTGAGAGGAGAGTGACTTGCCCTGGGTCACAGCAGAACCAGGAATAGAACCACTTCTCTCAACTCCAAGTTAAATGCCCTAGCCACTAGACCAGGCTGCTCTTCTGAACGGCCTTAAAGCATTGACAACCCAACAAGCGATCCTGCATGCATCCAGGGGGTGCCATGCTAGCCTCCCAAGATGAACTGGACTTGCCCTAATACTATGGTTCTGGAGTGGACATCAGATGCACTTTGTCAGCTTCACAGTTAAGTCTCAGCGCCTCAGATCTACTTCAAGCTAGTCTTTGGTCAGATTTTCCAAGTGAGGGAATCACCTCTACTGACACTATTCTCTTCCAAACCCCAAAACCAGAAAATATTCACAGCTCCCAAGACAGACAGCTCCAGAAAGCCAGACTAGCACTGGAGTTTTAGCCACCAGTGCAATATGATTTGCAGTGATGCCAATCATTTCTATACTAGGAGTTGACACTGGGGGCAAATATCTCAAGCCTTGGCTGACAGAGAACCAGGAAGGTTAAGTGGATGACTTAAGAATGTCAAGCTATTTAGCCTTTAAGGTGAAACAAATCCAACTGCCTTTGCTTGGAGCCGTAACCTGCTGCTGTTGTACCAAATGCTTTGCACACATGTACTTCAGACCAGATCTCTAGAAGAGGCCAAAAATACGGAGGGATAGTCAAGTTTGGCTCAAGCTAGTCTGTTTTTATATTATGTAGTATCCCCGGTTTCACACTTCAGACTCAATGGTCCCACTGGTCTGTCAGATCCAGTCTGGAAATTCTCATACAATGTAGGCACTGGTACGCATTTAAAGCGAACAAACAATTACCTCTGCTTATGCGCTGCTTCTCTCCCGAGAGGATACCAGGTGTGTCAATGATGCTGATGCTATCCAGGACAGGGTTGGGTAGTTGGGCACACATGAACCTACATGAGAAGAGATACTCAATTAGAGAGGCTAGGCACTTTCCTTCTATGGTATGTAAAAGATCAGAGGCAAGAAAAAAAAAAAACAAGGAAGCCCAGCCATGTGGTCAAGGCTGTAGGCTAGGGCTCAGGATATCTGGATTCAATTGCCTACTTTGTCAGACTCCCTATGTGACCAGGGGCAAGCCTCCCTCCCCTCTGCTCCCACAGCAGACACTGCCTTAACTCCCCTATCTGTAAGGGGGGGGGGGAGGGGAGAAGAGAGTTTTACCAAACAGGGTATGGTGAGCATAAATCCAGCCTCAGGTATATGGGAGGAGGGCTGCTAAGCTAGACAGCAGGCTCTTTGAGGAAGGGGCTGTCATTTATTATGTTTGTACAGCACTAGCAGAATGGGCATCTATAAATCACTCCACCTCTGTGATTCACTGTCTTATAAGAAGTGGCTACCTTAAGGAGGTGCATCTCTTGCATTCTAAGTATGTGAAAAACTGGATAGAGTCTGTAGCTTCTTTGGCAGATTTACTAGCAATAGTGACCAATTTTAAGCTACCAATTATCAGTTTTCTTTAAATTAAACCTGGAGTGTCACATTAATGTATCATCTACAGAGCAACACACCTGCTCTTCAGCCTTATATGCATAAAGCCACCATGTAAGTCTACAAGGCTAAAGACAAGGGAGCCATACTGGAGCAGTGCTGTTATTTAGAGATTTCTATTAAACCCCAATGAAGACAATAGACTTACTCTTCAGCTGGTGTAGATCAGCATCAATGGAGTTCTAAATTTAGACCAGCCCAACATCTAATCTGTCACTTTTAATTAAGCTATTGCTCTCTGGTATCTGAAAACTTTAAGCCCAATAGTGAAATGTTAGATGCAAGCAGCAATGTGAGTCATTAAGAATATTAACGGGAAATGTCAGTCAATACTGCAAGTTAGTGTACTTTATACCTTCCAGCTGCTGACAGAGTGGCAAGCTTGATGCCAAAACAGCACATTTTTTAAAGGAAAGAAAGCCAGACTTTAGAATTCCACACCTAACCTTTCCACTACTCCAACAATACTATGATCAGTAATTTAATGCTGCCATTCACTGTTTCCTAACTTTTGATCAGATCTTCTCTTGAAAATGAGTCATCTAAAAGAGGGAGAATTTGCTGGAATTCATTTATTTTTCCACTAGGCAGACCAACTGGCAAGATATTTAGCTTGTTCTTATTTCAGAAGTTGAGTCCATAGCAATTTTAGTTCCTCAGTGGAGTCAGCAGCTCCTTTCTGTTGGGAGGAGATTTCAGCTAGCTATGCAGAAAGGAAGAGTCTGATCAACTACAACAGCAAAGCAATCCTGCTGAGCTGACATGGATTTCATAGAGGCAGGAAATCTCTCAACTCCTGCACAAGGCTCATTGTAAGCCTTAATCCCCAGTGTTTCAAAAGAGACAGCAGTTTTAAAAGCTGGACATTTCTACATTATCTTCCAGACACACACAAAATCTTAGTTTCAAACTGCATGCCTTGCTGCTCATACACAGACACCTTTAGCATGGTGATTATAGCACAGCAGTGGAGGTAGGAAAAACAAGGACATGTTACTCCTTTATTGAGCCTAGAGACCCACTGTGCTCTTTTAAGGAGCTTTAGGATGAATGCAAGAGACAAACCTTTGTTACATGCCAGCTGAAGAACCCACTGGCTAGGACAGTTAACAGATTAAAAGGATACAGTGTATTAAAGTTGCAGTACACAAGACTTTTTAATCACACTAGGCCATCAAGATGAGAACTTGGGTTAAGCATTAACACTCTTCACTCTCCTCCAACAGGGAGATCAGAGGCCAACATTCCAGAGACCCATTTAACACTGATGTTTAAATGCCATCTAGAATTGGTTTATAAACAAGCCAGCCCAAAAACAGCTAGTAGATCCTGACCTAGAATTGCCCAAAAGGCAGCCTTCTGGGCAGAGAGGAAGCAGCCATGAACAGAGAGGGGCCCTGATCACGAGTTCAAGCTGCATGCTATGCCACTAGTATGGCTTTCAAGTGTTTCATTCATGCCTTCCTGTATCATGCCCTTGTGGTCAGCTATGAAATCATCTTCTATCACCAAGGGCAGGGAACCCATTTCTGGATGATTATGAGTGTTATGAGAACCTGTGGCTGGATATGCCTGAATTACCCACTTCCTTATGGGTTTCACTTCGAGATTAAAATAGAAAATTGTGACACTCTCTCCCCTTTCAACTACAGAAGCAGCCACATGCTAGGAAATGTCCACTAGCATTAGGCTTCAATCAGCACCTTAGGGCATCAGAACATTTCCATGCCCCCCCCCCCCCCGTATTATTGAGGTCACACTTTTGCGCAAGACCAGGGAAGCCCAAGGGGAAACCCACCCTAAAACAGGTATTGGTTTAGTTTGAGAGAAGTTAGACTTGGCAACTGTTTGCTTATGCTTTGGGGTGACAGTCTCAAGAATCTCAAAGTTACAGCAGGCATCAGGAGACCTATGTTTTACCCCCAGCTGTGGGCAGGCTTGGCTGAGTCACTTCAACCCTGCCTCTTAGTTATTCCATCTCTAAAACAGGGATGTTACCCTAAGAGCTTGGAGAGCTACAAGTGGGTGTTTCAGTTAGATCCAGGCCCCTTTACACTGTCAACAGCTATTATAGGTGCCAACAGTACTGAGCAAGAAGGGACTTCCCAGCTGGTACAGAGGCTTCATGCCAGCCCCAGGAGCAGAGGTACATGACAGGAGTACTCTACAATACCTCTGCATCCAAGGGAGCTCCTGAACTCCCTTGCAGGAGCAGAGAAGTGGGCTCTGAGTTATGAAGGGACGCTGTCATGTTAAAAGACTAATGAATTATGTCCCGTCTTAGAGTTACTATCCTCTTAGGTTTAGAGGATTGGAATCTGATGTTTAAGTTAACTTGCTTTAATATTAATTTCTCTTTCTCCCATTTCAGCTTGGGAAATCACCCAGTCAGTTTCATGTTTGTTTAGGGTCAGTTCCTAGTCATTTCGTTCAGAGCCCCCTCCATGCACCATTCAGAGGTGGCCAAGATAACATTGGTATTGAAATCTGAGACACTGACAGGAAGGCATCACTATGCAGTTCTGCACAAAAATCCCCTTCTGCCTGAGGCCATTCAGAGACAGAAGACTGCCTAGGGGGCAGGGAGGGAGTTGTAAGAGAATTTGGCTGCAGTTTATAGGGTGAGGCATCCAAGAACTATGCCTTAGAGCAGTGGTTCTCAAACTTTTGGCCTCAGGACCCACTTGTAAACGTTTATGGCCTGTCAGGACTCAGTAAATAGTCCGGGGGTGGAGGCCCCAGGGTGGTTTCAGTTAGGTCAAGCTCAGCATTAACTGTACAATGGCAGCTCCCCATCCCCACCTACCAAGGTACCACCCCAGTGACCATGTTCCTCAACAGATGAAAGCCCTAACGCTAGGTTTGGAGAGGGGGGTATTATGCAGGAGTTGGTACAGGGCTCTGCACGAAGAAGGTTGCCATAAGTCTGGGGCTGACAAGTATTGTTGGCAGGCTCCCCCCCCAATCCCTACCCATCCTGGGGCCTCCACACCAGGAGGTGACAGCTTGGAGATGGTGCTAAGCTCGAACTGGGAGTGCCATGCAGTGCCACTCATGCCCACCCACGAGCCCAGACTCACCTATTGAGTATGGCGCTGGGGGGGGCCTGCAGGTGAGTGGGGCACTGCAGGTCCCCCCATACTCGGGCTCTCACCTGTTGAGGACGGTGCTAAGCTGGAGGCTAGGGGTGCCATGAGTGGCCATGCAGGCCCCAGGCCAGCCCTCACCTGGGGAGAAAGGCGCTGAGGGGCGCCGCGGCCCCCCGCCCCGCCCCTCACATGTTGAAGGAAGGCGGCGAGCGACGCTGCAGGCCCCCGCGCCGCCCCCCGCCGCTCACCTGTTGAGAAAAGCGTTGCCGAAGGAGTTGAGCTTGCGGAAGGGCCGCCGCGGGTCGACCACCAGGGCGTTGCCAGGGACAACGCCCTCGGTCTCGCCGCCCATGACGGCGATGAAGGAGTCGGTGGTGGGCTCGGGCCCGATGCGCATGCCCGGGAAGTCCTGCTCGATGAGGTGCCGGATGAAGGTGGTCTTGCCCGTGCTGTACTGCCCCACCAGCAGCACCATGGGCTTGTTCTCCCAGTCGGCCGGCTCCAGCGCGGGGGAGTGGAAGTCGTGGAAGCGGTAGTACTCCTCCAACGGCAGCAGCTTGGTGGCGTAGAGCTGCTTCAGCCCCTCCGAGACCGTGCGGAACAGCTCCGGCTCCTTGCGCCGCCGCGCGTCCTTGCTCACCCAGCTGAACATGGCTGCGGGGACTGGAGGGGCGGGGAAGGCTGCGTTACAAGCGGGGACGGGAGCGCTACAACGGGCCAGCAACGCCCACCGCTGTGCTCAGCCGCCTGCCACTGAATGAAGCGCCCCCCTCAGAGCCTGCATTTATACGTATCCCCACGGCCACGCCCCCGAGAAGCTGATTGGTGCCCGTCAGTTGGGCCGCTTCCGCCCCGCTCCCTCATTCCAAACGCTCCTTGCCACAGCTCTACAATCGTAGTGGCGTCACTTCCGCCCCTCTCCTCCGCGTCCGCTTTTTGCCTTTCCCTGCCCTCCATGACAGTTACCGAGGTGGAAGTACAGTAGCTCTAAATTCTCACATCTCCGCCCCTACCCCCACTAGTCGCCATGACAGTTACTGAGGCAAAAGTAGCCTCAATCATTGGCTGATGTAGGATCATGTGGTGTTCAAGGGCCGCAGGGGTTTGACCAAACCCACACTTACAGTGAGGGGTTGCTATCTTCACTCTCTGCCTCCTCACCACTGCCACCCCGGTGGCCCGGCTCCCCCCACGCTCCTCACACCATTCCCCCAACCCCTGACTCCCCCATCAAAATCAACCCCCAGCCCCCACTGCCCACCGAAATTAGGGGTTGCCAACCCTCCAGGATTGTCCTGGCGTCTCCAGGAATTAAAGATTATGTCATGTGAGGAAACCTCCAACCAAAACTGGCAACCCTATACCGAAATCAACCCCAAAGCCTCTGACACTGTCCACCTAAATTAGAGTGACCAGATAGCAAGTGTGAAAAATCGGGACAGGAGGTGGGGGTAATAGGCACCTGTATAAGAAAAATCCCCAAATATCAGGACTGTCCCTATAAAATCAGCATATCTGGTCACCCTAACCTAAATCAACTACCCAACACTGCCCACTGAAATCAAACACCTGATTCTGCCCACTGAAATCAACCTGCCAACCCCAACACTGCCTTCTGAAATCAACTCCCAATCCCCAGACAATGCCCACCTAAATCAGCTCCCCAACACTGACCACCAAAATCAAACACCTGACACTGACCACCAAAATCAACCCCCAAACTCCATGATATGGCCCAAAAGAGTCAACCCCACACTCCCTGACACTACCCACTGAAATCAACCTGCCTATCCCCCAGTGCCCATCAAAATTAACCCCCAACACTGATCACCAAAATTAACCCCCCAACACTGACCACCGAAATCAACTCCTCAACCCCCAACACTGCCACTGAAATCAAACCCCCCCAGCCACTGATACTATTCACTGAAATCAAACCCCAACTCCGACAGTGTCCACTGAAATGACCCATCAACTTCCTGACACTATCCCCCTAAACACCATGCCTCCTGAATACCATTCCCCCAACACCAGCCCCCCAGCCACTGTCGTCCAAGTCCACCCAATTTATCCCCCAAATCGTCCAGAAACCATCCCTCCAAATCAGGGCCGGCTTTAGGAACTGCGGGGCCCGATTCGAATACCCGGCGGCGGTCCGGGTCTTCAGTGGCACTTCGGCGGCAGGGGGTCCTTCACTCGCTCCGGGTCTTCCGTGGCACTGAAGGACCCCCCGCCACTGAAATGCCGCTGAAGACCCAGAGCGAGTGAAGGACCCCCTGCCGCCGAAGTGCCGCCAAAGACCTGGACCGCCGCCGGGTGAGTAAAAAAAAATTAAAAGGTGCCTAAGTTAGGCGCTCTTCTTTAGGGCGCGGGGCCCTCTTAGGTGCGGGTGCGGGGCCCAATTCCGGGCAATCGGGGGAATCAGCCTAAGGCCGGCCCTGCTCCAAATCCTCAGACACTGTCCCCCCAACCTTTTGACACCATTCCCCCAGTCGCCCTCTGACTCTATCCTGCTGGATGCTGCCGCTCCAAATCATCCCCCAAACCGCCTGATATCATCCCATCAAATCCCCTGACACCGTCTTCCGGCTAGATTGATCCATGGGTCTGATCTGGGGCTGCTGGGAAAAGGGATGGGGGAATACTGGGCTAGCTTACCCCCAGTGGGATGATCTTAGGTGGGAAGAAGGAGGGATATCAGGCTAGATGGGCCCATTGGTTTGATTCAGTGTGGTGGGGAAGGGAGTAATCCTGGACTGATCTGTTCTGATGTTTCTAGGAAACAGGGAAGAGACAATGAGTGGAGAGAAAGATCTGAGGAGGTTGAGGGAGGATCATGCTCATATTTCTATTCAAGCGTTTGAGGAGTTTCCTGTCTGGGAATGAATCATGCCCTCCCCACAGTCGCTGCCATTTCTCCTCCTGGAGAATCTCAGTGCTGGACAAACACATTTTCCCCTTTATCACTACCTCTGTCTATAGCTCCCCAAATATATATATATACATAAAGAGAGATCGCCCGACCCTCACTTGAGCTGCCCTCGTCCATTTCCGCCCCTTTGGCCGCTCCTTTCACCTTCCTCTGCATCATTAACAGCCAATCTGGAACCTTGCTTTGTCAATGGGCTCTTGCATCATAGATGAAGTCAGCAAAGTTCTGGAATGAGTCAGTTAGGTAAAGGCTTGCTGCTATGCCCCATCACCCAGCTCCTTTCAGTTCCTCCTCCCGGACAATTCTACTCATGCTGGCAGGTATCAATGGCAGCCTGATTAAAGCCACTGGCCGTGCGAACCACCCTTCTTTCGGGAAAAACACAAGGAGCAATTAAGTTCCATAGAGCAGGAGAGCTGGAGACAGCAGAAACCACCCAAGGCAAACAGCTGCATGGAAAAGCATGAGCATGGCTAAGCCATGTTGGCTGCGGGGTTTCCCTGGGACTGATTGCAAATGCAGGGGCTGGGGGATTGCTTGGAAAGCTGAGTCTGTGACCATATGAGAGAGGCAGAGAGCCAGCAGACAGCAAGAGGAACAGAGGTGAGCGTGGCCTTGGGAGGCAGCAAAGAGACAGATCTTCTAGGACTGACTGGAGAGGCAGACTTGGAAACTGTGAGCACGAACACTGCTGGTTGTTTGTTCCTGCTGTGCTCAGGGATACAGGACAGTGTGGATATTCTTTGCAAATAAATAAGATTGCATCAGAGAACATACCCGCCTCACATCCTCTTCTTCCTCCTACTCTCAGAAACAGCCTGGCAAGGCCCCAAGTGTTGGCAAACTGCTTGTTCCAAAGGGGAAGCAGTTCACTTAGGGTGTGATCCAATGCCCATTGAAGCCAGTGAAAAGAGTCCCATCAAGTCGCTGGGAATCATCAGTCAACGTGTGTTGGATCAAGCCTTTAGTTCATCTTCTGGGGACCGTCTACATAGTTACTTCACACTAGCATATAACTTCATAAAGGGCATCTACACAAAAATGAGGAAGCCAGTTAAACAGAAATTAAAAGTTACAGTCACAAAAGTGAAATGCCTGCAAACTGCATGAAAACTTTTAAAAAACACCCTAATGGAGGCTCAAATATATAATCCCAAATTAAAAATCATAGAAAGAGGGCCAAAAAAGTGCCACCATGGCTAAACAACAAAGTAAACGAAGCAGTTACAGGCAAAAAGGCATCCTTAAAAACTGGAAGTTAAGGCCTACTGAGAAAAATAGAAAGAAGCATAAACTCTGGCAAGTCAAGTGTAAAAGTATAATTAAGCAGGCTAAAAAAGAATTTGAAGAGCAACTAGTAAAAGACTCAAAAACTAACAACAAAAATATATATATTTTTTAAGTACATCAGAAGCAGGATGCCTGCCAAACAATCAGTGGGGCCACTGGATGATCGAAGTGCTAAAGGAGCACTCAAAGAAGACAAGGCTGTTGTGGAGAAGCTAAATGAATTCTTTGCATCAGTCTTCATTGCAGAGGATGTGAGGGAGATTCCCACACCTAAGCCATTCTTTTTAGATGACAAATCTGAGGAACTGTCCCAGATTGAGGTGTCAGTAGAGGAGGTTTTGGAACAAATTGATAAATTAAACAGTAATAAGTCACGAGGACCAGATGGTATTCACCCAAGAGTTCTGAAGGAACTCAAATACTAATCTGTAAGCTATAACTTAAACCAGGAGACTGGAGGATAGCTAACGTGACACCAATGTGACGTTGCACTCCATATGAGTGCTGAGCACTGGGAAAGTCTCTGTTAACTAAGGGTACGTCTACACTTACTGGAGGGTCCGGCGGCAGGCAATCGATGTTCTGGGATCGATCCCGGAAGTGCTCGCCGTCGACGCCGGTACTCCAGCTCGCCGAGAGGAGTACGCGGCATCGACGGGGGAGCCTTCCTGCCGCGTCTGGACCCGCGGTAAGTTCGGACTAAGGTACTTCGAATTCAGCTACGTTATTAACGTAGCTGAATTTGCGTACCTTAGTCCGAAGTGGGGGGGTAGTGTGGACCAGGCCTAAGAAACCCCTGAGCTGAGTGCATCTTAGTTTCAGTGAACTGCAGAGGGGTGTGGCCCAACCTCTGGGTCTCTGCTGAACCTGACTAGAGTGTCTAACTCAGCAAGACAGGAGTGGAGGGGCGCCTGTTCTGGCAGGAGGGGGTTCTCTATGGTATCCCAGCTCATCGAGTGATGGTCTCAAGGGAAGACAAATAGAAATTGATGTGCAATTTGCCCGGGAAAAGGCTGCCCTGGAAAAAGAAAAGGCTGCCCACCAGCAAACCCTGGACTTAAAAGACAAAGCAATTGAGGCCCAGAGACAAGCACAAATTGAGACCCAGAAGCATGAACTGGCTGTAATGAAGTGGAAGAGGTGCACAGAGACATGTATACTGGAGCTGGAAGTTGGGGTCCTGGTGACTGCTGTGGTGGGAACAGGGCTGCCCAGAGGATTCAGGGGGCCTGGGGCAAAGCAATTTCGGGGCCCCTTCCATAAAAAAAGTTGCAATATTATAGAATACTATATTCTCGTGGGGGCCCCTGCAGGGCCCGGGGCCTGGGGCAAATTGCCCCACTTGCCCCCCCCCTCTGGGCGGCCCTGGGTGGGAACAGACCCCAAGGACTCAGTACTTGAAAACAAGCCCAACCTGAGTGAAGGGGGGGTGGGATTTTGCTGGCCAGAGAAGGATCTGTCATAGCTGGTAGCTGTGAGCCCACAGCTAGATCAGGGTCACCTTCCCTTTTGGGGGACAC